AGCCATGTTGGACTGAACTACTGGCCCCTCTGCGAAGGGGGAGGTCCCAGTTACCAGCTCCCTCGCCCTAGGTCGGTCCCGGCTCAGCCGCGGCGGCGCTTCCCGCTCCCGAGGCCGCGCTCGCCGGCCCCACCCCCACCGGGATGGGAAGACCTTGGGTCAAACAACAGATTAACCTGCAACCCCCGCACTTGGTACTCTCCACTTAAAGGCGCTGTCAGTGGGATATTTATCCGCCGACAGAATAGGGGCTTTAAATGCCGATCGCGGGAGTTGCCGCTAGGTGGCGCAACGAGCCACCAAATGGAAGGAGGGAGCCCAGGGTAGCGCTGGAGAGCTTTACAGTAGTGTACCCCCCCTCCCAGCAATGCACCCATCCACCCCCGGGGGAACCAGCCACAGTGACTCCCCCATTATTGCGGGGGAGCAGTCACCCATGCACTCCCCATGCTTGGGGGAACCTGGTGCATCACTCTTCTCCATGCCCCACACATCAGTCCATTAATGAATATGGATCAATTACATTAATTACAGTCCCATAAATAAAATATTAATAAAATTGCTGGTGCCAACGGCCTCTTCTGACTGCCGTAGCTGAGCACCACATGAATATTAAGGGCATCTACCCTCACATACTCCTCCGAGATCAGGAAGTGTTATCTCCATTTACAGATGGGGGCATCGAGGCACAGAGGCATGAAGCAACTTGGCCGAGGTCACACAGGAAGGCTGTGCCCAAGCCAGGAATTGGTCCCATGTTTAGTCCTAGGCCGGTGCCTTAACCACAAAACCAGTCCTCTCCCAGGGTCATCTGTCTTGCTGTGGAAATTACTGGAGGTGGAGGGAAAAAATTCTTCAACACCAAATTCCTTTCCGGAGGGACCTTGTGGGCAAATAATAAATATTTTGTTAAAACAAAGGGATGTTTTTTTCCTAAATAGAAATAAGGGCAGTTGGCATTTGCACTGCATAATTGCCTCCACATGCTTTGGTTTATTTATTTAGCTTATATCACAGCTACGAAAAAAATCAGGTCATCATAACATTTCATAACCACAGCTGCGGGGGTGTGTTTTGGCTGCAGTGGACTCCTGACAACCAGTTGCCATTAGTGCAATGCTGGGCCCAACATTCAAGAGCCTGGAGCCTTGGTAGAACAGGCTGATGATGTGTTTGGTGAGCTGACAACTAGCCAAGGTTTTGAGAGCAATTTTATTGACGGAAAGTAGCTTTGGTGGGCCCCCTCCCTAATATTTGCAAGAGATCTTGTGGATACAGCTCAAGCCTCAGTGACCTTGACTTCAGAAAAGCATTTTTTTTTTAATTGCTGCTGACTGACACAGAGCAGCCAGAGCAAGGTTTGAGATCTGGCCCTTAAAATTCTGCTACTGGTTAGTAGTCCCTAAATGCCTAATCCTGCAGTCTACCGAGCACTGCCTGAGGATGATGTGTGTCTTAAATTCCCACTAATTTCAGAAGAACAAGATATACTATAGCACTAAAGATCAAAAAGGGGGATTTCCAAGAAACATGTTGCTCGTAACAGTAACCTTTGCAAAATTGACTTTCCTGTCATGCCCATTTGCTTGCTGTCTTTGACCCAATGACTATTTTAGTATTTATACACAGTGGACTAGCCCACGTACAGCACTTCATTTACTGTAAGTCGTCTCAGTGAACTCAACTGGAAAGGATTTCCTATGTGCAAAAAGTTTAACATTTGTAAAGGTTTGCAGGATCTGGGTCTTAGATTGCAGGGTGTATTAATTGGCATGTGTAACAACTGCAGGAGACTCAAATATGCAAAGGGTCTTGGGAGCAACCCTATTTACTGTTTAGTGATGCATTTTCCTGAGCCATCTTTCCTGTATATGTATCCTCTCTTGGTTATTTTCAATAAAATAAATTAGGAAACCCGCAAAATCAAAAGAAAAAAATTATACAGGCACACAAAAAAGTAACAAATACAAAAGTATCAATGTGTGTATGTCTATGTGCCAACCCCAAAATTAGTGCTTTACAGTTCCCTTGTACTTGTCATGTAAGGCGTTCAAAACTCTCTACAAACATTAATTAATACTCACATCATCACTCTGAGGTATCTAGGTAGGCATTAACTCCATTTCAGAGATATGGAAACTGAGGCACAGATAATTTAAGGCCAACACTGGGTGCCCAGATTGAAGCATGTAAGCCGTCTCAAGTTGGGCACCCCAATAATTGAGTATTTTGGAGAATTTCTGCCTAAGTAATGTGTATTAGAACAAGGAATAGAATCTAAAGCTACTGACTCCCCACCCTGTGCTTCTGCCACCAGGCCATCCTTCCTCCACAAAAGGCTCATAAAAATGAATCCAGTTAACAGATGAGAGTAAAAGTGAACGAAAGTGCCCCAAGAGCTATAGACACAAGGAGCAATGGCTTACAGAAACTGCCCCCAGCTAACACCAAACAGTTGGGGTCATTAGTTTTGAAAGAGACTTCTAGCAGCCATGGAGAAGAGTTAATGCTTCTTCCCTCATTAGACAGGGAGATACACAATAGCAATATAGAGGCCAAGTCAAGATAAGGAAGAAGTCTGCATTTCTGTCCTGTTATCTGTGGGCTTGGAGCATACTCCTCACAAATCTTCAGATTCTGAGGGGTTGGGGTACTGTCTGCACTGGAGCTGGCCAGGACTTTTTCAACAAAGCTTTTTGTGGAAAATGCAGATTCATCAAAACAGAAACAGTCCATTTCAATGAATGGACTGTTTCTAAAAAAATTTTGGGAAAAAAAAAAGGTTCCAAAATTGTTCTAAGTGAAAAATATTCCATTTTTGGTTCAAAATGACTGTTTCAAAAATTAAGCTAGTTTGTAGTAAAAAGGATGTAAAATATATAAAATAAAATCTTCAAAATGTTTTGGCACAATCAAAATGAAACATTTCAATTGGCTTGATTCTCCTCCTCAATATATATATATATTTAAAAAAAAAACAGTTTGCAAACATTGGTGAGATTTTTTACTTTTTGTTCCAATTTGGGATGAGAAAAATTTTCAAAATGTTGAAGATTTGGGATAGCAAAACTACTTCTGGCTACATGTATTCCAGAACCCCTCCTTTCATTGCACTAGTAGTCAGCAACCTTCATCTCTGAATTCACTGCAATGTGCACTTCCCAGAGGTGCCCAAGTTCTCTTTCCCCTTCTTAAGGGTTCCCCCATGAAAGAGTATGATTTAGGTCATAGCTATTCCTGTAGCGGCATTAGATGAATAATACATGTTATATCTGAGCCAATTTAATTTCCCTCAACATAAGAGGACGGAAATTAATAGCAACTGGATGTTTCCAAAGCTTTGAAACTTTCTCTTCTCCTACATGCTTAGGCAGGATTTGTAGTGAGTACGTGTTTATGGGTTGCCAAGATGAACTTACTGTGGTATATAAAGAAAGGAAAAGCAGTCTGCACAGATACAATTTTCTGACGGTGACATAAGATAAACTTATTGAACTCAGTGACCTAATTTCTCTTTCAGTTGCACAATATGGATTGCTCTTTCTTGCTTGAGTTTTGTTTTTACATGAACTTACTCTCCGTTTTCAGTTTGGTGGGACTTGTTCCATCAGTCTGTCCTTCTAGTACTTGTAACCTAACCACCCTTCAACTCATGCCTCTTCCTTGGTTCTTTGGGCATTTTCCCAGCCATTACTTGCCCTAGTTTTTGCAGTACAACTCAGTGGGGAAATAAAAAGGGCACAGACAGAACTGATGGAAGCAGATTAGGGCCAGGCCTACACTACAGACCTAGATCAGTATAACCAGAGGTGAAAGTAAGCCAGTACGCCCCAGTACGGCATACCGTCAAGAGCCGGTTTGCCGTACCAGGGCGGCCCAGCTTCCGTAGGGGTCAATTTAAAGGGCCTGGGGCTCCCAGCAGGGGCTGGAGCCCCAGGCCCTTTAAATTGCCACCAGAACCCCACTGCTGGAGCCCTGGGGTAGGGCTGCGGGGCTCTGGGGGCTATTTAAAAAGTCTGGGGCTCCCACTGCTTCTACCGCCCCAGCCCTTTAAATAGCCGCCGGAGCCCCGGAGTAGTGGTGGGGGGGCTCCCGCGGCCATTTTAAAGGGTGGGGGGGGGGAAGCAGGGGGGGGCCCCGGAATTTTTAAAAACCCCCCCAGAC